TCTTTTTTTTAATTTCGGTTGACGGGAACGTGAATTTGCTCACGTACATCCCTTTGGTCTCTACCAAAGAGAACCAAGGCTGCGTTTACTTTCGATTCGTAAAGTCGTCCGACTTCTAAAGGAGACAAGGTTTAAATTCGTGTTCTTACTTTTGAAACGCTTTCCTTCTCGCTGCAATTCGCGTGAGTCTTCCTTTGTACGACGACGAGTGTTATTCGATTCTTTTTTTTTTTTATTGCGGTCTGCGAGCAATCGAGGGATTAAGTTAAGATTAACTTGGTAACTTGACACTTATTACGAGGTTTAAAACGGAAGTTGATCGTGTACTTGTTAATTCTCCATAAAACGACCTATTCTACGCCAATCAATTTTTTATTCCAAATCTGTTCCGCTATTATTTGAGATAAATTGATATTAAATGAGAAATAAATTCAGGGTTCTTCGCAACTGATAAGAAAGAGGATGGACGATTAGAGATATAATCCTGTATGAATCTTAAGTTCCATCATTTTTTAAATTAAAATATAACTAAATATATTAAATAAAATGATAAATATTGAAATAAATTAAATATGTGTGTAATATTAAAATTAATTAATCGTATGAATTATTCTTCAAAAATCACGATATCTGCTACTATGATTACAAACTTCATCTTCCAAAATAATGATCTCCTCGAGAATAAAGTTTAGTACGATTGAAAAAAAGAAAACTATTTTTTATTCTTTTCAACATAAATATATTTATAAATAATAAAAGAAAGAAATAATATTAACATTTTGATAGCTATCATTTTCACTTTTTTCTATATGTAGCAAACAAATCCAAATTGGATTTAAAAAAAATTGTGTAAATAAAAAATTTAATTAGATTTAAGATAAAAATTTATTCTCTTCAGGATTGTGATCATAGTGTTCGCCTGCAAAGTATTAACAAATATTGGAAGAAATATCAAAATAAGAACAATATCACATACAGTATTTCCAAAAAATATTGGAAGAGATGCCTTTAAAATACGATAACTTTTTTATTCAATCATTCAATGATTTGATTTAATACCTTGAATTGATTTGAGAAGTTAAAGGAATTAATTACATGGTATGTAAAAAAAAAAATCTTCTGTTTCAAAAGTTTTTTTTATCTTTTTTTTTATTTAGGCCTGTAATAAAAATTTAAAAAAATATATTCTGAAGATTTATGTTAAAGTTTCAATACGTTATATATATATTCTTAACCAATTTCGATGAAATTTTTATTACGTATAATATAACTGACATAAGTCTATAAAATATATTTTTTAAATTATATCTGAATCTTTAATGAATCGGATATAAATATTGAAAAAAAAAATAATCATTATTTTCTTTCCAATTTTAATCAATAGCAATCCTTTCGAAATTTCTTTTATACCCTACTTGATAAACTAACTTCTCAGAATAAATCAAGTCATTAAGTCTAATTTTAAAAAAATTATCGCATTTTATATGTTTGAATCAAAGATATACGATTCTCAAAAAATTAAAATTTTTTGATGATAAAGGTTGAACCATGACGAAAAATTGCAAAATAATACGATCCAATCTCGGTCCAAATTTTCGTGTCTTAACGTTAACGTAGAGAGATGAAGGATAATCCGAGAGATCACAGCGACACAAGCCTCTTCCCCTCTACTCTTTGTCGTTCCATCGTAATAATATTCTACTTTGTTAACGTGTTAACTTGGTAGCCATGATCCGTTTCCACGCACCGGTGCGCTCAACTCAGCGTTTACACGGTCGTCGTCATCGTCGTCACGCTGGAAATCCAAGAACACATCCAACATGACGATGATGATGATCCCACGACACGTAATTCTTCGTATCATTCGTGATCCTTTCCCCTCTTCCCCCCTTTTTTTTTCGTCCCCTCTTCTTGAGATGATCGGTGTTGCGACACGCGATACGCACGATGGGTCATCTAGGATTTCAGAACTTGATGGATTTAATTGTTCCTGGTGCTGGCCACCCGAGGACGTGCCACATGGATCGTCTCCTCGACAAATATATGTTATCGTCACTGTGTTTATGGGCATGATTGAAAGAGGAATAAATCGATGAAATTGGGATTTAAAATATTGATCGAATCGATTTTTTGTAATTGTGATTTTTTTAAGAAATTTTTTAAGATTTCGGATATTTAAGAATAGTATGTAAGTAAAAAAGAAAGAATATCACTGGAAATTGTATTAATCCGTATCGATTTTTTATTCTTATTTTGAGATTTTAAGTGATTTAAGAAATTCTGAAGAAGTAGAAATAAAAAAAAAAGAGAAATATCGGTGAAAAGAAATTTGGAATTTTGATGATATTGGATTTTGTTGATTTTTGGTAATTATGATTTTGAAATTTTTGAAAGTTTTGGATATTAAAAAAAAAATATGAAACAAGAAAAGAAAAGAATATGATTGAGATTGAATTTTGTTGATTTTTTAGTATTTATGAGTTTAAGATTTTGAAAAATTTAAATATTCTAAATATTACAAAATATAGAATAATTAGTTTATAATATAATAGTTTAATTTATGAAAATTTCAAATTGTCAATTGTTTCGTTATTCATTAATATTTTGAGAATAATAAAGAAATAGACAAAAATATAATATGTAGTATTTGCACTAGATACTTTAAATCTTCAGAATTTTTTCTTTTTCTTTGCTAATTATTTCATAATTATTTCTTACTTTGATACTTTGATGTTAAAAGTATTGAGAAATTTAAATAATCAATGGCTATTATATAATATTTATGTGAGAAGCTTATAGCTTGAGCCTTAAAGAATTCCTTTCTTAACGACTTTAAAGATTTATATAGCCAAAGTATAATGTGAAATATTCAAATGAGGAATAACAGATTCTCAGGAATTTTTCTTTTTTCACCTTTTAACTACTATTAACTAAGAATGCAACTACCTTTTTTTCGAGCAGAATAATGCATTCCTTATGGAAAAATTAATTCAGCTCATTAGACTGGATGTAAAAGTACAAACCGTATGATTTCATATTCATTCACAGTAATTTTCTTTCGTAACGATACTTCTTGCGAGCGTTAGATTTAACTTTCATTAATTCTATTTTCCACCAACTCCATCAAACATTTTTTAAGGCAATATAAAAGTAACCAGAATACTGATCGAGAATCAGTTGATATACAATTTTAGTTCTAGCAATCTTGGTTCGAATCGTCGACCAGTTCTTCGTTGTACATAAAACGATAATAATCATCGTGCAAAAGAGCTAATTCGAATCGCAATAAAAGAAATTATAGGAACGAACTTTCTGTTGTGAAACGTGACGTCTCCTCTCTTACTCGACCGTCCATCTTTTCTAAGGCCAACATTTATTCGAAAATTTTCTTATCTCTGGACTATTATCGAGATTAAAAGTATTCAAATATTCTGATACTCTATGATTAATTCGTTCGTTATAATTTTGAATTGTATTTCAAAAATTAATTAAAATATTCTTTCTATGATAAATCATAGAAACGATTCTGTTTTTCTCTTTTATAAAAAATTTTCTTCGCGGATCTAAATTATCCCTTCATTTCGAAGGTTGCATTGCAAGATTTCCGAAATCCAAGGTCCTGTCAAAATGGATCACGATGATATGCAATGAAATCGCAATCTCCAGAAGGACTAAGAGAGCAATCGTGCGGAACCGCGATCGATCGAATGAATCGCTATTGTTATGATAGATACTCGATGAACATCGGTTTTTTGCATTGAGAAGATCGTTACTTTCAAATTGTGCGAAGAGCTACAAATTTTTGTCACAATGATTTATTGATTGCAAAAGGAGAATATTTATGATAGATCATATGCATAAAAATTTTGTTGTTAATTATCAATCTATGTAAACAGTTGTATTACAAATTGTATTAATTTTACTGAAAATATCCGTACATTTCTTATAATTGCAAAGTAAAAAAAAATCGAAAATCAGTTATTTTGTTGAATTTAGAAATCTTAAAAATAATCCAATTTTTGAAATGAACAAATTGATAGACAATTTGAGTAAAAAGAACTCGATTTTTGAAAAGATGATAATTACATCATAATGACAACTTAAACAATAAAAATATAAAATTGATTGTGAATGTAAAAAAGAGATTTTATAAATTTAAAAATAATAATAATATTTCCAATATCAAAGTATACATTTAATAATTTCAATTGTTCTTTGATTCCAGATCAAAGTGCCTTTGAAAGTGAACTTTTCTGCCAGGCCGAAGGACGTGTCGGTGACGATCACGAAAAAACGATTGACCTGTGGCATCAAGGGTCAACCGCCGATCATCGACGGTGATTTTCCACACGAGGTCAAAGTCGAAGAATCCACCTGGGTGATCGAGGATGGAAAAGTGTTGCTTCTCAACCTGGAGAAGGTAAGTGATGCAAGCGAAGCAATGCTCGATGCTGGATACGCGGCCTTGTCAAAACGAGGATTCCAACGATGCTGTCGCTTTAGCGATGAATTTCTGACGGATGATATCGGATACGCGAAGAATTCGTTGATTTGACGTGGCCATGAGCGATCAGAATAGCGTATAGGGAGTTTGGTGAAGGCTGAATCGTGATCGTTCAACGAGCAAACTATTTACTTAATATTTTTATCCACTTGATTCGGTGACATTATTTCGATAATTGGTCGTGATAGATATTCCATTGATCGTCATTTAATAAAGCCTATTCAAATAAAGATGTTTTGATCCTTCGAAGTCGATAGATTTACAAGTCTCCATCTTCTTTTTAATAATAATATTTTATGTTTGTAAAAAATTGATTTTAAACTTTCACCTTAATAGATAGAACATGTAATATATATGAAAGATGCCAGAAAAATTGAAGTGTGAATATTTTTTTCTGATGTGATTAAAACGTAAATTTTACATTATAATATCCAATTATATTCATCGAACCTCTTTGATTAATCTGTAAAATTATTTTGTAATGTTTCGTATTTTCTTAATTTTCTTTTTATTACCAATTACCAATTTAAATATTTGAAACAAATTAACTTTCAACTTTCAGATATTAATATGCATCTTGCGTTACTTTTATTTTACGATTACTAAAGGCAAGAATCGTCGACTGTTTTCACAGGTGAACAAAATGCAATGGTGGGCGCACGTGGTAACCTGCGACCCGGAGATCAGCACGAAGAAAGTGAATCCCGAGCCGAGCAAGCTTTCCGATCTCGATGGCGAAACTAGAGGCCTCGTGGAGAAGATGATGTACGACCAGAGACAAAAGGAGCTGGGTTTGCCAACGTCCGACGAGCAGAAGAAGCAGGATGTGATCAAAAAGTACGACATCACGAGCATAAATCAGCATGAATATCGCAGAATATCTAACCATCTTAAATTTTTCCTTCCAGGTTCATGGAACAGCATCCCGAGATGGATTTCTCCAAGTGCAAGTTCAATTGAAACCGTTCCAATTAGATGGAACGAATATTCAAGGTGTTGTTGTGAAACTGATAATATAAAAGATAAAACAGATGATATATTATCGATATATCCAATCGTGAAATCCAGAAAAGCTCTTTATAATACTCTTGTTAATTGTCACTGTGGTGAAGTTTTCTGCACCTATTTTAGCGTATCCGCCATCAGGTTCCAAAGCATGAAAGATGGCGCCACGATCCAATCGTGGCATGGATCGTGGTTACGGATAAAACGATTCATCGTTCTCTTTGTCACAACGCTCATTTGATGATTCCATTTTCTCTCTCTCTCTCTCTTTTTTTTTTTAATGTCTATCTTCAAACCGTTCCTTTTTGATTACTGCTCCAAAGGTAGCAGAATCAATCTGCACAAATATGTATATCGTACGATTTTTTCACATTACGTTTCGTATAATTGAATAAAGAGTTTAGAAATGAAGAGATTTTGTATTCGATTCTTGAAATTAACAAGATTCACTCATGTTAAATAGTCTCTATTCATATACAATGTGGCATCGTGTCGGTAGAAAGGAAAAAAGTAATAAATGGCATTCGCTTTAAGTGGTAATAATTACTCGTTTCAAAACGATTATTCGTTCTTATATCTAATTAAAAGTACACTGGATATTGTTCTTAGCTAAAGATCACTGAACAGCAGTTAATAGCACTGAGCACGATAATTAGAACCCAAGCACACGAGCGTTATGAAAGTTTTAATTGAAGTCATCGGTTCTTTCATCACTCTGCTGATCCAGCGAACATAGTTCGACATTCTGGCGTAAATTCCAAATTTCCCTCGTTTCCCACATCCTTCGCCAAAACTGGTAATACCAAAAATGGTCCAGGGCCGGTTGGCTCTTCTAGGATCTTGGCACAGAAGAGGACCACCGCTATCTCCTGCGCAAGAATCCATTTTTCCTCGACGATATCCAGCGCAAAACATGTTGTCGGTGATTCTATAGTCTACATAAACATCTCGACATGCTTCTGAAGATACTATAGGTATCTGAAATGGAAAATTGATAAAAAACTTGGATAAAATTTTTTAATCATTGGAACGTTTCAAAGATTTCCTTATTTAAATTAGAAAAAGAACATAATGGCACCTAAATGTAACTTACTCGAGCCTCGTGAAGAATATCAGTGCCGAAATCATCTGTGACTCGCGACTTTCCCCAGCCAATAATTGTGCACAATTGATTGGCAGGTAGAGGTTGGTTAGGCGCCGGAAGGCAAGCAATTCCTCTGGATGGTGACGCTGTTAAAGTGACCGGAAGACGAAGCATTGCAACATCATTGTCCACCGTGTCTGCATCGTATTCGGGATGTATTGTGACTGAATCCACCTGGGAGTGGAAAAAAATTAAAATATAAAATTAAAATTCTCGAAGATATTATTATTTCTTGTCAATTTATGAAACGTCGAGTACTCTTAATTCCAATTCAGTGCCTTCTTTCACTGTCAAATCATGTTCACCAATGCGAACGTAAAGTCTCTTTCTGATGCAGTGAGCAGCAGTTAATACCCATCTTGGAGACACTAAAGTACCTCCGCAGAAAGCTTCCTGTAAAAATTGTTGCAACGATTAATCGTGAAATTATTATTATAATTTAAACAGATACGTAGCAATCCTAATTTTGCATAACTTACACGAAATCTGTTCAATACGGCTACTTGCCACGGCCAACTTCCTGGAGTCGACGGTCGTCCACCGATGATTCTTGTAAAGTAAGAAAGACGAGAAGTTTTTTGAATACTCGGGACTCCACATTTCCAAATATTAGAATTTTTCTCGGGGATGAAACTGTCCACCGTGTTGGGATTCAACTCGAACTCGTCTAATACTGCATCTGTGAATTATAAAAAATAATGAATATTCTTTCAAAAAATGAAAGAAAATAACGAGTGAATAGAATACTTTAAATTTAATTCACCATCTTCTTCTTGATTCCCACGAATTTTTCGATGGATCCATCTTTGGCAGAAGCTACCTTCGACGTAACAATAAGCACTTTCCCTTATCACATCGCGTCCGCAAATTCCAGGTTTCTTGCACCACCTTCCGTTATTTAAATTGGAATTTTTATAATTGATCATTAAAATTTGTTAAATTTATTTCTTAAACAAACTAATGAATATCGCGTTCACCTATGACGTTGAGTAGTGCACAATCTTGTACAAGGTGACCATTTACTCCACTTTCCGTAATACCCTACAGATTGGTCCTTGCCTCTCTGTCTTCCTTGTCTAGGTGCAGCTTCTTTTTTAGGCATCTAATATCAATCGATTAATTCGTAATTAATTTCCAAGCAAAAAAGTTTCAGAACTCATATTGAACTCAGTTTTTAGAAACACGATGGAAAATATTACCTGAATCACGTGAAATTTATCAAATTTTTGTCGATGACCTCTTCGTTGATGTTGCTTGCACCTTCTCCATCTACTTTTTCTATTGTGTTGACAGGTTCGTTCTTCCTGCATAAAATAATGTAAATGGAATATTGATATAACATTTGCAATATGTAAAATGAAATTCACAAATTGCTCACCTTAAGTATCGTGGTACCACATTTTTTCTTCTCGCGACACCTTCGAACGCGATTCTGCGTGCAGTGTCGATCACACACACTCCATTCGCTCCAATTTGTGAAGTACGATAATTTTGTGGATCCTAAAGTGTTTATGATATTTAATGAATAACAGAAGAAAAAGATATAGTCATAACAATTAAAAGAAGAAAAGAAAGGAATTGAAAAACGCTTACTGTTCTTTGGTAATTGTTCCACAACAGAATCCTGACCGACCACGCGCTGCCAGCTAATGCTATTGTTCCCGTTGGTCACGAACGTTCCGTTTCCGCTCTAAAATTAGCAAAGAGTAACGTGTAATTAATCATCGATATCTGAAAGGGAGATCGTGACTCGTTACAAAATGATTATTTTCTATAAATAGAGAAAACATATCTGTATAAAAAAGTTGCAAAAAATTTTATCGTGTATATACAAAAAATAATATGAAGAAATAAGTGATATGTGCAGGAAAAAGCAATTCTAGCATGCCTCATCACGTAGGCAGATCGTTGCAAAAATAACCTGAGATTAACAGCTATGAAGTGAACTAATAGACATGTACCGTGTTCGCGCTGATGCGAATGTCTTGAAGATTTCAATTGAAGATGTTAAGTTGTGGTGACTTACGTTATGACATGTTACTGACATCTTGACTTAAATGAAAATTTATCCCTCTTATAATTCATATGTTTTTTATAGTTAATAGTGACTATATATATTATAGCATAATTCTAAATTTTTATTTAACCTTAAAACACATTCCATAAAAGATAATTTGCAATTGATTAAATTTAAATATTTTTATTTTTGTTATAATATAATATTATATATTGATATAATAATACAAATTTTATCTTTAATAATATTTTAATTTCTTATTTTAATGATTAATAATTATAATTGAATAATAGTTGAAAAAAATTTTGATCAATAATTCAATATATTGTTTCATTGATTAATTTGGTAATATATGGTCAAAACTTTATTGTTCTCAAAAAGTTTTTTGTACTCTAAAGTACTCTAAAGCGAGGAAACTAATTGTAAATCTATATCTAATACCATTCAAAGAAAATCAGTGTCTTTATTCCTGGTTCAGGAAAAAACCTAACCAATTACCATTAATCTGTAATATTTTCTCATATCCATTGAATACAAGTTTAACAACCCGTTATTTCTCTCGCGTAAATCATTTACGTCATACGTCAAAAAGGAATCGTGAAAAAGTTGCTGCTCGAGATAGAAACAAGAAAAAGCAATAAAAGTTCGAAATCAAGTCTTCTGATGTGCGGATTCGTTTTTTTTTTTTCTTCTTTTTTTCTCGAAAGAGCAGAAATCACAAAATAAAAAGCCATGGACAATTACTCGTTCTTAAGTAAAGAGTTAATAGACCAGTTGCTAACGTTGCTGTCAACCATCTCGAGCATTGTCCAGCATTCTCCAAGGCTGTAACGATCAGCACGTGGCACTAAACTCAATTTGCTGGCTCGTAAATGGCACCGCGACGTAACCACCGGCGTCGTTGCTCAATGTCATCGACGCCGGTGGTTACGATGATGATTCTAAGATTTGATCATATGGAGAATTTTATGAGTATCGTTAAATCTCGGAAGTTTTGTACGTGTAATTTCATTAATTAGTTGGATTGAAAAATATTAAAATGTCATCTTTTTTTATGGATTATCGCTGTAAAAATTATAGAGATACACAAATTATCAGAATATTTTCAAACTCTATGTATCTAATTGGAAATTGATGAATTGTAAATTTAATTTGTATTAATTAATTTTCAACGATTACTCTCGAAATGGTACTTTTCTGTAGATATAAATGGGCATTTATTGAAAATTTCGTTAATAATTTTTGATGAATTTTAAGAAATGGTAACATCTCTGTGGATCTAATAAAAAATCGATAGATATCTTCATTAAAAATTTTCAACGACCTTTCCCAAAAATGGCACTTTATTATGCATAAAGTAAATAATTTTATCGAAAAATATATTAATAATTTTCGATGAATATTCTATGAATTTAAATGAAAATTATTGAATTGGATTAATTATCATCAAAGATTTTGTAAATTTAATTCGTATGCTTAACTCTCAGTCATCGTTCTCAAAATGGGAATTTTTGTCATTAATATAGAAAAAAATTAATGTTGTAATAAATATACTATTTATAATACTAATAAATAGGATCTTAATTTTTTTCGATTTTAGAAAACTTTTAAAATATTTATAATCAATAAATATAATAATTTCGATCAATGAAAATGGGGCATACGTAGATCACACCCTTCTTCAATTCAGCCCACATTGCTTATTATCCTAGACAATAGTTGGAGCAAGGTAACGACAATGTTACCTCATCGAGGTCGTCTTAAGAAATTCAATATTAGATGGTCGATCATGGTTAATATTCTACAGGGTGGTTCACTCAGCGTGGGCCCAATTATACCCTTTACTATTTGAAGGTAAAAAGCATATTAATATAATGAGACAATAGACGAGTGATGTCATGGGATGTATGAAACGCGAAGGTAATCTACTTTTTGCGAACTAGTTTCTATAGACCTTTTGGTTTCCTTAACTCGTCACGATATTTCTTATAACTTAATTGTCTCGAGTTTTTTTCCTTTGACCTGGATTATTAGCATAATTAATGAGCTGCAAAATTTTCTCAAATGAAAAATATTATGCTTATTCGTAGAAAATTGTATAATGTTTGTTTCATAAAAAAAGAAAGATTTTTTATTTTTTTTAACATAATTATTTTTCTGCATTATTGATCATGTAATCACACTTTTTAATTATTATTTAATACTTGAAATTTTAATTTATTAATTAATAAATTATAAAATGATAAATAATAATAGTACCGTGCTATCTGCCTTTAATGTCAAATAGGAATATGATTTTTTTTTCTAAAACTAAAATATTGAAAAAGATCAATATCTTTCAAAAATTCAATAATTTGAACAAACATGAATCTCACGAATGCAATACGAATCTTGAAATCGTTATGATGTCGTTGCATGGGTCACGACAATTGCATTGGTTTCATTTAAATGAGGTACAATAATTTCGTTGTTCCATTCGAGTTTATGATCCGATTAATTCTGTCCGCGCAAAGAACCTCTTAAATGTATGCAACCCAAGAGTTCAGGGTTAACGATGTTCCTGTATTGCACAATTAATTTCTTTGAATTGTCTGCAAAAAGAAAACTGGTTTTCGCTCGATTTCCTTGCTCACCGCAAGTAGATCACGTCAAGAATTTAAATTTAATTTAACTTGTTCTTATTCAGTTTAATTCGCTTTATTATAACACGTTGAATTATCTTATACGTCTGAATATACATCTTATGAATTTTAATCCATAATGATTTTGGATGGAAGATCTATGTAATTGCATAAATTTTCTTTTTTTGTCATTTATACAAAGACAAGATAAGTAAAAAAGTTAAAATTAAATTTATTGATATAATATTCTAAGATAAATTTGTTCATGTTTCTTTATAATAATATCATGTACATGTGACAAATTATATAAATGTATGTTTTTGTTTTATAATCTTGTGTTATCTTCTAAATAAGATAATATTTTTTTACTATAAAATTCTTTATTTACTAAAAAATTCAAATATAATCAATCAAAAATGTTTTTATATGCTATTTTAGAAAGAAATTTATCTATCTCTCTAAAAATTGATTTTAATGAAAAATTGTGTATATGTAGATTATAATATATTTTGTCAAAAAATAAATTACTTTATATATAAAATTAACTTTCAAATTTTTATCATTTTTTTATGTTTTCTACAATTCCAATATAATTTGGAAATATTTTTTAGAGGATAATAAAACTTAAATATTTTATAATCTAAAATCTTGCTCTATCTCATATCATTACAAAATTATATTCAAAAAAAACATAAATGAATGTTCCACTAATAAAAAAATTTTTTAATATACATATAAATCATTATGATCTACATAGCCATAATGTTTCATATAAAATAGAATAATTGTTGATTTTGATAGTAAAATTTATTAATTGAATATAAAAAACTTTTATGTTTTTATATTCTTGATCTTTTAGAACAAAATTTTGACAAAATTTTGCAAATATTTCCAACTTGAATCAATCATAAGTTCCATTATTTAATCCATTATCCATCTTTGAGAAATATGGATTATTAAAAATCCATTCAAACATGGTATCTAAAAAATATTCAAAACATGAGAATTATTCGAGGTAATCGTTTCGAGATCGGATTGTTCGCTTCTTCCGCGACACGGTTGTCGAAGTGAAGTAGAAGAAAAAAAATGTAGATGGTTAAAAGAAGAAAGAGGGGGTTGTCTACATGAGGAATTTGTATGCGTTGCGGTGAACATGGCCAAACTAGGCTGAAGTCCGCGGTGCCTTGCATCTTCCCCATGGATCGCAAAAACCGCGTGCCACTCGCGTGGTAGAAACGATTCCTAAGGATGGAGACCGACGAAAATTGTTATTATTATCGACAATTGTCAGAGAGATCAAGAAATCGAAATTAGAGAAGAAGATTTATTTAACTTGAAGGATTGGGACCAGGAGCATTGATCATCGAGAAAAAGGAGGATTTTCTGTTCGTTTGCAAATGTATCGAGAATTCCGTTGGGCCATACCAGAAATGATTCACTGGCATTACGTATGCAACTTTAATACCGTTTCGCATTCAAAGCATCTCTCAACAGCACCCTATCAAGACACATTCCAAGAAGGTATTCTCACCTGTATTCGTCTGCACCTTGTGCAGGTGTTTATTTTGTGGAAATTAAAGATCGTGTCTCTATACATTTCTAGGATCTGTTCAATGATTTAGAATAAATTACACTAATTCTCGTTTTAGTTCTCATTCATTCAGAAGATCTGTGAATATCTCTAAATATTAACATTCTACTTATTATTGTTAATAGATTGTAATTATTACTTTATTAAATTAAATGTATTCGTCATGTTTGCTATTGATTAGCTATCAATCAGTTCTAATCTAATTCAATATTTTAAAAATATGATTTCCTAGAAATTTTCTATTATTCTCTTATTAATGTATGATAATCTGCCAAATTGTATTTTGTAATTGTATTTGTAATTGTAACCGTTCATTCAAGTAATTGTAACGAAAGAATTACATAAAAATATTATTACAATATAAATAGTCATGGATAAAATTAGCAGAGTATTTATTACTTGCAAAACGCATCTTGAATCAAATTAAATGAATAAAAAAGAAAAATACAACGCGTATCTCT